GCTAAATTTTTAAAAATCACTTTAAGATGACAGAAAATAAGTGGAAGATCCAAACTGAGGATGTTGAAAGAGCTATCTACAGCAGGTAAAATACTTATTGTTTAGGAACTTACCATAGAACTCCACCTCAAATTATCTGAACCAGTGCTTCAATAGGTTTAGCAGCAGGACCACCTATTAAAGCGTTTCATGTGGATGATGAGTTACGTAACAGTGTGCGGTGATTTTATGACTCTTAAACTATTACAGATCTTACCAGGCGGCTCTGAAACTTAGCAGACATGGTGCCACACATCACTCCATGGTCTTAGCATGTTTGTTTGAGTGTGACATGTTTGCAGAAGGGCGAGGAGTCTGAATGTTTGAAGAAAAAAAATAAAAAATTAAAAAGGGATGCTGGGAAGTGGGATGGGCTCTGTTTCTCGCGTCTCTCTCCAGCCTAGAAGTGGAGTGTCTTCCCCCCCACATCCTCGCCCCCCCTCCCCCTCTTCGAGCTGCTGGCCCTCGGTCAGGTAACCAAACAGGATAGTATTACAGGACGGTGAAACCTAAAAAAAAAAAAGGCTCCGCCTGCCTCCATATGTCCGTTCAGGTGAATGTGTGTGTCTGCGAGGCTCTCACCCGTACCTGTCATATATCCTCAACCTTATCTTCTATGTTCTACGTGWGTGTGTTTTGCCTGTTTGTTGCACCCCACCCCACCCTCCCCAAACACACCCTTTCCCCATCGGCCCACTTCCAACAGCCTCTTGTCACACACGCCCCAAACCTCCCATATGTACGGTCTGTGTTTCAAGAGTCGTTGCTATGCCAACAGCCCACTTTCCTGTGCCTTTAGCTGTGGGAGAATCTGATCCGTGCCCAGTCTGCCTCCCACTGGATACTGTAGACCACTGCAGGCTTCACAGACTCGCATCAACCATATCAGCTCCCCCAAGGTGAGGAGAGGAAAAAAAATACATTGGCACCAAAAACAATCAGTTGTAGCTCTACCATCTGTCACAAATAATACTGCTATTTGAGAAATTAAATAAACTGGAAACGGTCCTCACTTTTGTGTGTAGCAGAGAAGGAAACATATTTCCTCTGTTGGAGCTGCAGCTCTGGAYGCTCTAACATGCTGGAGGAGAGCAGAGGACCACCTTTGGTGCTTGCGTAGAGGCCGTCCCCCCGGCTGCACCTGAGAATGAACTGAAGCCCTCTGAATGAAGCATGAGGGAGAGGCGTTCACTCTCCTGTCTATACTTCAGAGGTGGTTTGAGGAGGGAGGTGCATTGTTTTATATCCTGACAAATCCCTCTGAGCTTCAGATTGCACCTTCATTTCTTAGCCCCTGAACTGTGTTGAAGTCAAGACCACCTAAYTCGAGACCAAGTCAAGATCAACTCCAGAAAAACAAAATAAAACAAARCRCATGAAACTAGTGAAACTAGTGTTAAAACATAGAGTAGGGCCTATACTGTACACCTTAATACTGTATGTATAGCTAATATTGTCTAAATCTCTGTTTGAYAGTGGCGGATSTAGGATTTTTCTGAGTAAGGGGCCATTAATAAGGGCCACAGTATTTATAGAGGGGCCAAGTTGCACACAAATCCCTGGTTTTAGTAGAGTGTATATATTTAGCCAGTCACACGTTTAAACACTTGTAATATAATTAAAAAAAAGCTACACGGTAAATTCTCCTTACGAGTTTTACATGCATTTTTACAGTACAYACATAGATAAAATACTCTCACACACACAGCATGTGAGAGAATCCAGCCATTATTTGTGAGTTGGAAGAGTTTTTCTGCAGGATTGTTTAAATTTTAAGAAAAGAAAAATACTTCTGTCAGCTTGATTCATGCTGGACTTTTCTATTTGGCTCATTAGCGCCTCTAGGGTTTGGACATGGAACTGCACCCACCATCATCGCTCTTGGGCAAAAGACAGATGAGTGACAGGACAGGAGCACTTCAGGGGGCCAATCAAATTTCAGCAGGGACCAATGCCCCTGTGGCTCCGCCCCTAGAACCGCCCCTGTTGTTTGAGGGCCAGGTAAAGCATTTTGGCACAATGGCAAATTGCTAATGTTAGCTAACTAGCATTGATAACCTTTTATTTGCGCTTCCTTTTTAAGTAATAATAAAAGTTTCATGTAGACCCCACCGTCTCTGAAAGTAAGGACTGCAGAATTTACAAGTCTCTGTATGCTTTCTTCT